AGTGAGGGGGCTCTCCTTTATATTTGCCTGTGTACAAATCCAGTGTGTGATTTTTGCTCTGCATGTGCTGTTTCAGACTGTGACCAATAATTTGTGAATCATCTCATCTTCTTCATGAAGGGCTGGTATACTGTACATATATGTATATGTATATGTATATGTGTATGTATATATATTCATCTGCCATAAGAGGTAGCTCTAGTATTTTCCTTCATATGCAGATATTTGTGCATAGAAGGTTAACTCAATAAATGTTTTATTGAGCTGAATTTAAATTAAATTTAAAACTTCTTTTAGGAACACTGATTTTAATTTATGATAATTAAGTATTCACTTTAAACCAAACAGAAACTTCCAGTCCTGTTTTATAAACTGAAATTAAGATCTGAACTTGGATCTTCAATATGCCTCTAATCAGTTCTGTGACAAGAAATCATTTAATTTTAATCAAATCAATAGCACCTCATCTGCAAAATGGGTATACTAATGTAACTACTTCCCAAGTACTGTGGCTAAAAATGAGATATCATTCAATATCCTGGCGACTAGCAGCCCTTGGCACAGAGAAGGAACTGATTAAATGTAAGTTCCCTTCCCCGTGTCCCTAGTGCAACATAATATAATGCGATGTTTAGAATTTTAATTCAGGCAATTACTTAAGTAGTAATTGCTATTTGTATTTACATAGCTGCTTTGATCCAAGAAGCTCAAAGGGCTTACTAAATTTAGCATTTTAATAAATGTTTCATCTGCATTCTGTTGATTCTGTTTACCCACACCAAAACTTGCAATTTTTAAAAGCAAGACAGAAAATACGGAAACGAGACAACATCTTCCTGTTTGGGAGTATCGTAGGACAGAGTTTCTGTCTATTTACCTAAAAGGTCAAATTCCCTCTTCCTATGAAATAAAGTGTAAGAGACTTGAATGCACCTGCTTCCTCTTACAGCTTCCTTTTAGCTTCTGCCTGCTCAACTCGATCCCTACCACACTTCTCTGAGGCAATGACAACAGAGGTATGTTTATTACACCAGTGAATTTATATATAATCAGCACAATAAACATTATTAGATTGTCAAGAGAAAAATCAAAGCACGTAGTGCAGCACCAGTACTGAATTCTAATGATGCTGAATGTCCGTGGCTGTACAGGGACAGGATCTTAACAAGCTTTGATTTGAGCGTTGGCATCCGCCTCACAAATCACATGGGCCGCTCCTCCCGTAATGCTCCTGAATATTGATAAATGTCTCTACCCCGCGCAACAGGGAAGTGGGTTTCTATTGGCAATCTTTACCAAAGTGTGTTTTTTCCTTTCTCTACACTCAAGGGTTTACCCTGAATGATTTAATTATAATTTTCCTTGTGTAAGACAAATTAAAGAGGAGAGTAGGAGTGTCGTGCCAAGCACATTATTTATCTCCTTAACAGATTGCAGCTCACCAAACCCCAGAGCTGCTGCTGTGGCGGCTGCTCACAGGGGCTGCAAAATGCATGGGGGTGAGCGTAAGAAAGACACAGTTTTGCAAATGGCAAGGAAATCTGTGACCCAGTGAAAGAATTAGACACACTGCTACTTTAAAAACAAACAAAAACTCTCAAAATCTACCTTTTACTGACAAATTTTCTCCCAGACCATTCCCAGATGCTTTTAGGAAAATCCTTAAAGCCGCTAAACCAAGAAGTTGTAGGTACTGTTGCTTGTCCAGTTACTGCTCCCTGTGAATCCAGGGAAAAGAGTGTGCCCAGAAATCAAGGGAGAGCCAGCAAGGGCAGAGTCACAAACAATCTGATAAGGAAGGCAGAAAATTACAAGAACGTCCTGCTCAGTGTATCTGAGAGCAAACATACTTTTGTAGTGACAACTTTCTTCTCTATTTTCTTTTCTTCCTTTTACCATTTTTGTACTGTCTACGCTGGAAATCACACATGGAAAATATTAAACTTCATAAGGTAATGACATTTAATATTAAGTCCCTCTATATGCACAAATAAAGCTGACTATCAACTGATCTTTGATACATTCAATGGTAAGGTTAAAACTGAATTATTTTTAACTGGAAGAGTTCATCTGCCTTGATGGATGCATTTAGTCAATATGTGCTGACTAGGGGTTGAGGCTGCAGCTCAGAGGTAAAGAATATGCTTAGTATGTGTGCAAGGCCCCGTGTTCAATTCCCTGTACCAAAACTAAGATAAAATAAAATAAAATGTGCTGAATAGAAAATTTTTTTTCAGTCAAGGAACATCTAGGAACCTACCAGGTAATACAGACTGAAAGAACCAAGAGATTAAGTAACAGCGTATAATTTCATAGCTGCTTTCTCTTCCAACGTACACCTGGAGAACTCAGCCTGTTTTTACATCCACATGAAGGCTCACTGGGATGTGAATTTTCTTCTGATCCATATTTAGGTATGCAGTATAATGAAGATTAAGCATAACATTTGTGCAGACAAATAAGGGTCATTAAAAAAATTAGTCTCCTGAAATCAGACTGTTCCTTACATCTATTTACTTTCAAATGAACCTTAAAATATGAAAAGAACTATTCTTTTCTTGCTAGTCTCTTGCTAATCTATCATTTGACTGTAGCATATAACCTTTCACAATAAAACAGAGTGTAGTGCATCTAAACAAGAAGTTTTCTATGTTAAAGGAAATCTGCATAGGCTCCACAGTGGCCCATGAGATTGTAACATATACCTTAAGTGCACCAGTTTGGTATTTCTCAGTGGATAACCTCCTGCTCTGTTTATGGACAAAGATGTATTTCAATCCTTCAACAGCAAAAGGACAGAACCAATCATTAAACAGGAAAATCAAGTACAGAAAAGGACAACAGCCTAGAACTTTTCCTATTAAAGCTGTATCAAGTTTTCTATTTTGAAAAAAGAATGGTGACATCATAAGGGATCTAAGAGTAAGAGCTCAGATTTGCTTCCAGATATACACATCTTTCCCCACTGGAGACAGAAGCTGTATTTCACCAGGTAGCTCCCAACTGTCCACCATGCTGTTCAAAACTTCTAAACCAGGAAGTTTAAAGCTTACAAAGAATTTAAAATTGTTCATTGTCTGCCGTAATTATTTTTAAATCATAAAGAATTGAGTTACAGGCTTTTGTTAAATCATGTATTGTCTTCATCTCTGATAGACTCTGATGATTTTTATGTTCAAATATGATACATATGTGTATGGGTACATGGCTGTATCTGTACATGTATCCATACAGTTATATATTTATTAACTGAGATATGTCCTAAGAAATATGTCTCTGGGCAATTTTGCTGATGATTACCACAGAGCATACTTACACAGAACTGGATGGTCCAACTTAACACACACCTACCCTACTGGGGGGAGGGGGAAAGGGAGCGAGAGAATAAGTGTGTGTGTGTATGGTAGAGCCTACAGCCTATCACTCTTAGGGGCATGATGAACAAAACAGCAACAGATTAAATCAAGCGCAAGAGAAATGATGCAATCAAGAGATGAGGTAAATATGTGATGCACAAGGCTGCTGCCAGCCTAATACAGCAACTATTTACAGTCAATTTTTTTAATAGGTAGCAGTATACTCTAACGATTAAAAAGCACAGTAAGTATATGAACCAGTAACATGTTTATTATCATTATTGAGTATGATGTACTGAACATAATTGCATGTGCTATTCTTTTACATGACTGACTGCGTAGGGTGGTTTACCCTAGTATCACCACAAATACATGAGTAATATATTGTGCTATACGTCATGATGGCTACAGCGTCACTAGATAATGGGAGTTTTTCAGCTGCATTACAATCTTACGGAACCACCACTGCACATGTGGGCTGCTATTAACCAAAACATTCTTTGGAACCTGACTAAATGTGCATTCAGATATTTTCTAATACAAAGACACATCTAATTAAACCCTGGCTCAGTGCTCAATAAATGAGAAATATATGAGATTATACTTTAACTGCTTAACTGAAATAAGTTTTTCTTAAACACAAAATTTGCTTTTTCCTGATGGAAACGGCGTTTACTATCATATATTACTTTTAAGGTTTCTTCTCTTTTGTGTTTGGAAGCTCTGCATATGAAATACATAGAAAACAGTTTAAAAATAGTAAACTGAAAACAAGTTGTCAATTTTAGGAACATTATATATTCCACTTTTGAAAAGCATCTCAACAGTGGCACTAATGTTTCAGGGTACTAAGATTTAGAAACATGAATCAACAGCTTTATTTTCTTACAATTCTATGCTAACATAGTGCATCCCAGATCTCTAAACCAATCTCAGCTTCAATTAACATTCACATGAACCTCGGGACCATTAAGAAATATGAAGTCCTAACTTCCAAAGGGGAATTGCAGCATCTGAGACAATGCTACAATCTATTCACAACTAGAAGAAGAAAGCATGAGGAGATGCCCTGTGCATACATACCAGCTCTCCCCAGTGCACGCTTCCACCTTTCCATCTTTCTTTCAGCCTTTCCTCAGTGCCCACACATAAAAGGCCATGTGTTTCCAGGACACAGGATGGAAAAGATGGGCTTCTCGCCTTCAAGGGGGGCAGTGTAGACTAACATAAGTTCTATGTTTTCTCAAACCATAATTCAAAATTGCCCACAGCAGACACTACTGTTCCTTGGGAAGGTGTTTAGAGCCAAGGAATTCAGCTTGTACGGAGTGAGCACTTGGCAGAGAGAGTCAGCCTGGAAGCCTTGAAATCCAATCCATCCAATGAGAAACTCGAAGACTTCTGCCTGGGCTCCTAAGCTGAGAGGAGCTCTACATAAGTGCTAATTCCATGTTGAAAAGGTGAAAACAATTAAATGCTTCACACAGAAACCATAGAAAATACGTTTGAAAGTAACTGTACGCACATTCAATAGTCACAAGAATCCAATTTGAAATCACTGAGATATGGCCAGGCAGAGTCACCAGCCCCTCCCAGGTGAGACACAGCAATGGATGCTGGACAGGTGTCCAAGCTCATCCCTACCTTTCCCTCTTGGGAGTGTGGACCGACAGCTGTCCATTGGTAGAGGCATGCGGGTTCATTATCAAGGAGGTCTTGGAAGGTGCAGAGGAAGACACACATGTCGTGGTCAGATCCAAACTGCTGTGATTGTTTCCTGCGGTTTCTTCTGCAGTATGAGCACTTGTCACTTCTTTCCAGAGCTGCTGCAGTTCTGTTGGAATCATGCCTGAAACAAACAAATTGGATAATTAAATCAATTAACAGCTAATTCCGTCCTCTTCAAACAGTAATTAAATCAAAAGAGTCAGTAAACAAAGCCTCGTGTTAGGGGGGCTTTTTGGTGAGTGCAGTTTTTTCCCCTCCCAACTACGGCAAATATGGTAGTAATAAGCGTGTCCTCCTACTGAGCAGCTGAGTTGAAGTGCCCTCATCTCACATAACAGACATCCGTGAAAAGGATTCAAAACACAGTTATTTTGCAACAACAGTATGCCTCCATTCATCTAAAATGCTGTTTCTCAAGTTTAAGAAAAAAAATAGAGACATTATTTTATTTTTAGACACAAAGAAAGGCTCAAATTAAATTTGTTCTACTATATTCTTATGACAACATGAACCACAAAATGAATAATTTTGTGCTTAAGTCTTAAATGATGACAAATAGCTTTGTTATTAAATACAGTTTTTATTAATCACTTTTAGACATAAATTATGAATTCATATCGTCTTCCTGAAATGCTTTTCAACTTTTAACAGTCAAATTGATTATACTATGATTATTTCATTAACACACCTATCTTCCTCATTAATTTTGGTTTCTAGTACCACATGCTTAATTGATGGATGTGTCTACTGAGAAACTGTGTAACTTTTTATACAAGTAATACTATTATTACTGTCATTTCTTAGATCAATGCTAATGAACCATTGCAGAATAAAACGAAAATGTAAAATAAACTTGGAGTGATAAAGTTCTCTTGCTTTTTAAGGGAGTAAAAATGGACACACATTTTAAGGAAGAAGTATCACCGTTATTTTCCCCCTCCATGGAAGAAATACAATCAGTATGTCAATCTCACCACTGTGGGGCCTCTTAAGTCTTTATCCTGGCAGAATGCCTGGATAACCGGGATTTCCAAATCCTACCTCGATGCATATTCTAATACACACATGCATGGAAGAAAAAAGGTTCTCTGAATTGCAACCAACAAGGGCAGCAACAAACAACAACTGCTTCCTCTGAGAGAACACTGAAAAGAAAGCACACACCCTGTATCTCATAAGGTAATTCAACATCAGGGCTGGTCATCTGGATTTCAGTTCCTTGTTGCAATTAACTGTAACACAGTTATTCTAGAAAGCCTGCCATTTTCTCTGTATTCAGCAGCAGCCGAAACAGGCATGTTTCTTACTAATCCGAAGGTACTGAATTAAAAAAGAAGGCTGTGTGCATTATATTCATTTGAAACACATAATAAAAAAATGCCAAGGTCTAAATTTAATTTATTTTTGTCATTTAGAATACAATGGATAGATAATCATCTCAACGTGATCAGCCAAACATCTTTACTTTGCTAAACTGTTAAAGATTTTAATTATGCCAGCATTGGAGAGCACTGGTCTAATGAGGCGATGGACTCCAGAGAATCCGAGTGGTTAAGAACTGTGAAATGAGTCTGATAGGATTTTTTTATATTCACCGTGGATCGTTTGCATATCAAAGAGGAGTAAATTATTGCACAGCAGACCAATAACCTTCCCCGCCTTTCTGCTAGGCACGTTAACAAAAACAGTTGGTCTCTCCTAACGGCTCTCCAAGAAAATGTTCAAATGCTCAAGTGTTTGCAATTAATATATATTATAAAGGAAGCTTCAAATGATATATTAAGTGGTCACATATTCTGAGATATTCAACAGCCAACTTGGTTTTCCTCTCCTTTTGTTATCAAATGCCAATTATATTTTGATGGATTTTGTCTCAAATGAACATTTAGTTATTAGGCATATTCAATTATTACTTGTTCCCTGAAATTAAACCTTAGAGGTAAATTAAACAAAGGAAAGGTCAGTACACAATCCCATGTCCAGTTCTGCCATATCTGGGCTATTGTTTTTGAACACCTTCGAAGTGACAGGTGGGATGCACCTGTAATAAGCAGCCCTGGCAGTATTTTGTACACACACAATTACCGGTGAGGTAGGCCGACCTTCAGCTACTGACTACCAGTGAAAACAACAGCAAATAGGGTATAAAATTACACAAATCAACACCTATTTTTTTCCTACTACTTAAAAACACACACATAAAAAACCAAGCACCTAGTTTTAAACTCAGACTAATTGCTTTGTGGGTCAGCTGTACCTGAAGAACATGCTTCTAACAACTGTGTGAACACCTTCTCTCTGAGAACAGCAGAACTCTGAGGTTGTTTCAAAAGTATACTGTTAACTCAGCAAATCAAGACAAAGGCAAGCACATTCACTACTTGTTACACCTAGAATACACCAATGCTCCTCTTCTTTCTTTTTATTCCAGTAAGCTAGCAAAATCAGTAACTCAGAGTGACAACATCAGTATTTTTAGGTCAAATCTCAACATCATAATTACACTTAAGAACATTCTCATCAGACTTAAGTGAGTCTAGTCAAATTATCCTCTCGGTCAGTGATTCTCTTCGTAGTAACGGTCAACTGTTCAGTGAATGCTACCTAGCAAAGGATGATGGAATTGGACAGCTAAGTTCTCACAACAGAATTAAGACAGAAAAGTAAGCTAGTAACTCATCAGACAGCTGATACCCAATTTCTAGAAAGTATTCATTTTTTTTCCCAAAATGGTAGCATCAGAATACTAGCAGGCTAAACAAATCCATTAGGAGGTATATAACAAGCATGTAATTTTCTCATACCAAGAGTTTATTTATTTTTTTAATTAAGAGGTCAGAATGAAAGTGAAAGAATATTTCTGGGGAAAATTACCAATTCTATGGAGGATCAGATGATGGAAGAGACCAGGGTGAAAATAAATATGTTAATTATGCAAAAGAGAGAAGGTCCTACATTTCACACAATTTTAAAGTAACTTTACAAGGCCATGAACAGGTATATAAAAGCATTTTGATGATTTTGTTATGAAGTGAGCACTACCAGCACTTTAAACATATAACCCCTGTGCCTTGCTACATTTCTGTTTTCAGGACAACTGTTTCTTCATTATAAAAGAAAATGCAGGCACTGGTTTAAAAAATGTATGTTGTGGGGACAGTTGACAGATTACTGTTCATGGAACTCAATTTTACAACCCCAGGTATCACTGGCTTGAAGACAGAGTTGATCAACCTTTTTTTGTCCTTGTACATCCATACCCAGGTGACCATGTTCAAGCAAGCAGAAAGTTGATTTAAACCTCGTAATGACATCAGTTTTAAGCCATCATCTTTCTGATAAAAAAGAATTGTGTTGTAGTCCAACATGACTGAATTCGCAAGCCACTTTGGATGAGGGGGTAGGGGAAAGAAAATCATCCTCCCGATTCCGGAGAGATGGCAATAACAGTGTGGTTCTCATTACTATAAAAACTTGAACTTCTGAACTATTTACATTGACACTTATGCCACCTTAGACACATATGTAGACACCAATCAGATATTAAATATGCTTTTTCCTAATGTTGCAGGGACTAACAGTTATAACAGACAGCTAAGCATATCAATCAATGCCATGACTAGTGAATTACCTACCAGTGTCTCTGATATGTTACGGCAGAGATTACACTTCATGCATCACCACATTCATTTCTTTCACATTACATATGAGCTTGTCTTGTCACTGCCCAATTGCCCTCTTTTGGACAGCTTAACTGATGTACTATAACAATGAACCTTAGTGAGCAAACTTAATAGTACAGGAATGGTGGGAAAAGATGAGAGAGGGTAAAGCTTTGAGTCTAGCAGCTATGTCAGAAGAGCCTGTCATGTTTCCAACAGTAAACCAGAAGGTGTAATTACCACATGTTATAACATTGCAAAAGTTCAAAATGCATTAGCCGATGTGTCCTTCCTTTTCCTTATGTTGATCAGTTATCAAATCTTTTGACAACAAGCAAGAAGATAGTGATTGTGTAGTAAGTAGGTGAGTTGTCATGACAGAAAGATATGAAGGGTCAATTAAAATGCTGAAGGATATAACAGATTTGGTGGTAACACTGAATGCAAAAACAAAACATAATGGCAGGGTTGGTGGTGGTGCCGAGAAGTTGGATGTGGTTGACTAAAGAGAGGAGATTTATGGAGACATGTCTCACCATGTCCACTTGACACAAGTTAGTAGACAAATAAATGACCATGCCTTAAGCAACAAGTAGGATGCCCCCCATTTTCAACCTCCTTCTGATAGCAACTAAATCAAGACATCCAAAGTTGTTGCTACTTGTCATCAAGGCTCATAACCACATGCATCCAAAACCCTAGAGCTGAAAAAATCTTGAGCTTTGAGCAAGCAACTAAAGTCTCTGGAAACATGTAGAGTTAATCATCCTTTGGCACCTCTGGGACTACCCTCTCAAATTCCAAAATCTGAGGATACTCAAGTCTTGTATGTATAAATGGGTGTGGTATTTGTATGATATCTGTGTATATCCTTCCCTGTGCTTTAAATTATCAGTTCTTCATTATTTAGCATGCCTAATATTGATGTAGTTGTTTCAATGTATTGAAGAGATATTCAGTGATAAGAAAAATGTACATGTATAATAGAAATGACTGTAGGTTTTTTCCCTAAATATTTTCAATTCATGGTTGGTTCAATCTGCAAATACAGAAGTCACAGATATGGAGGTCTACTACATGGGACTGGGAAATGTCTTTTAAAATGTAAGCATGACACTTCTTCCTGTCTACCTTTTTCTCGCCTTTTCTAGTTGTGAATATTACATCTCCTTTTATATTATACGTATGAAAGTCAGAGTTACTTAAACCAAGAGGGAATCCTAAAAACCCTTTCCCTTTGACATCCAACACCCTTGGGATAAAATGTCAGCCAATTTTTTTTAAAACGAATTCATAAAATCTAGAAAATCTTATTGTTTTTTAGAGGAATGCCAATTTGTGATGAAGAACTAGAAGTAGAAATGGTACCTATTCTGATGAATGCACAACTAACTTACTCAAAAATCCACATACCATGCAAAAAGAAAGGGGGAAAAGAAACAAAAAACAAAATAAAGACAAAAGGTAACTTGGGGTTTTGTTACAGGAAGAATTATTTTCACCATTTATAGAAAAATAAACCTGAATTTACCCCTACATTTTAAAAAATGGCATTTCTATATAAAGCATTGTTGAGATTTAAAATAGAATGTTACCTGATATAAAGTATACCTTACAATGACTAATACCTTTCCAGAAAATTCCTTGTGGTTCCCAACTATAATGCTGTTAAGATTCCACTGAAATGTTCACTGAGTGCATGATAGCATGTGGTCCTCTTCCTCCCACACTGTGCAGTCCTGGGTGCACCCTGGTACTAGGAAACATGTATACTTCCTCCCGTCTGCATTCTGGCAGCAAGCACTTGAACTTCTGCAAGGGTCCATCACTACTTTACTCAGCATTTTGTTACAGTTCCGACATGTATGTTTTGGATGGGAATTTTCTGGATGATTAGCTGGAATAGGCTAAGCGACACCCCACTCCCTCGTCCAAAGTCTTCCCAGAGGTGCCTCTCTTTCCATGATGAGTGCATACCTTGTGGAAGAGGTTGAATGGGAAGGGCAGGCTGCCCGGGCTGAATGGTTAGGAGGCCTTGGCGCTGCAAAGACAGGAGGTGCTGTTGCTGTAGCTGCTGCATTTGCAAGAGTTGCTGCTGAAAAGCCAACTGCTGGGTAGCCACTTGCTGTTGCTGGAAGAGAGAGGGAGAACAAAATGAGACAGCCGCTTCCCAAAGAAAGTTAAAGGATGCACACTTCATGACTCATCATCATCATGGAATACTGACACTGGTCACTAGAGTGGGGTGGACTGCTAAGTGTTAAGGTTTATAAGGGAAAGAAACAAAATCTCTGAAGGGAGGCAGATTACCTATCTGCTGCCTGCTCTAGGAAAAGCTTTCCTCCATGAAGCTGACTTTCCCTAGCTGGAAAATCTTGACTTTGGTAGTCAATGTGTGAACTTGGAGACTTTGAAAGTTGTAATTATTCATACTAGAAATAAGACCACAACATTCTGGTCTAGAAGGATTTGAACCATGGACCTTTGAGATGTAAAAGGAGGAGGTGCCCCCCCCCCAGGTCTACATGGGCAGGGTAGGAGCTTTTAACTGTATCACTTCTGACATAAATAAATGAGAAAAAATCAGACCTTTGAAGAAGAAAAACTTCATCTACTATCGTTAATTAGCCATGACAAATGATGAAATAACATTGTAAATCTTTCATAGAAACAGCCACTAGATTTTAATTACACACATTCATAATTTAGCAAACAACATCACACTCGACTGTGAGTGTTTAATGTGAAAGAGAGTGTCTAAGTGTCAGATGCGGTAACGTGGCTTTAGTCTCAGAAACCCCTAGGTCTGCCTGCTGGTCCTCTACCCCATCCAACTTTGTTCTTGAAAAGAAGGGGCTTTACCATATGATAAATATCTTTTTGTTGATTGGACAATGACAGGAGGAAAACTTTTGTTGTGTAAAACATCAATACATCATTTCTGTGTTTAGCAGGCCTTGCTCCAGCCAAAAAAATTAATGTAGATTTCCTCAGTAATTATCTGAGTGATAGAAAGATAATACAGTGCAGTAGTACAATAAATAGAAGGAAATTATCTAATATCCTTAATCTGCTAGGAATCATATCGAGGTGGAGGTCTTGGCCATATTATAGTTAACGCTTTGAAAGGAAAATTAACTCTTCCTAAACTGCAGCCAAAAAGAAGAAAGATTCTTAAGAAGAAAGTCTCTAATTCTGAATATAATTTTTTTTTGGTCTTTTTCATTTTTATCGGTACCAGGCATCGAACTCACGACTGCCTGCTTACGAGGCAGGCGCTTATGCTGCTGAGCTAAATCCCCAGCCCCCGTCTAATTCTGAATATAATTTTTAAAATAATCTGAGATTTTTTTGAACTAGAAACAACCCCTTCCTTTCAGAACATGTGTTCCAGTTAATACCTATAGTTTACAAACAACTGCATTCACTTAACCTAACACATGACCTTGATCTGATACATCCATAAAATGGTATGTATACCAAGACCTTCTGATGCAAAGTTCAAAGGAAGAGAAAAATGGTGGTTTCCTTTCGGTCTCCACGTAGTTTATTTTACAGAAAAACCATCATTCTCATATTAGCAACCAATTTCAGACTTACTACCATGCCACTGAGAAAGTTAATTGAGTTTCACTCCAAAAAACAAATTCTATACCACTAACAACAAAAATTTAAATAAATTTAAATGAAAAGCCAGTGTTTTCATTTTAAGAACAGCATGCATAAAATGATCCAATTGTTTTCACCCCTTCCCAAGTTATCACATTAATGTAAAACCCGGTGATAGTTATATTCATGTCAAAATGATTTTTTCACTTCTTCAACACATATTAACTCAAGACATTAAAACAGGTACAGAAGAAGAAAAAACAGCATCAACATAATAAAAGATCAGGGGATTAGCTCTTCTTGAAGTAGACTATGGTGGGGATTTGAAGGTTTTGGGGAGGGTGCTTCCTGTCTTACTGTAAGTGAAATGTTTAAAAAATTGTGTATTTATATAAAGTGACTGATGCCTTTTCTGTCGTCTCTGTGGCCATCCCTAGGAAAAGCTCATGAAAGCTGTCCACGTTTGAAAAGCCAGGATATAAAAGTATACAAGGCCCATTGTCCAAAGAAAGAATTTAAAAGCAACACTGGTTGCCAAACTGTGCTCCCCACCCAGTTACCAAACACAGGATACGAGTTCGTTTGTTTACTTCTCACAATTGAATGCATACAAAAAAGGTCTCCGCACAGTCTCCTGACAGGTCAGTAGTCAGTGCTAAAATGCTAAAATGCCCTGATAAACCCTGCATTTCGGATCCCCTCCCTACTGCTGCAGTCAAAGGTCTGTTTTCCTTTCTTTGGCTACTCCCTACTGCCTAACATAAACTGTCATAACTGCCCAGGACAAATGGCTCTTTTAAAACAATCAACTAGCCTACTTCACCCACACAGGATGGCATCTTTCTTTTAAGGGTTGGGTAGCTTGATTCAAATGATGGCTGCTGTCTTGTTTTCCACACCACTCTCCTCCCAATATGAAGGAGCAACTGCTTCAGTGATTGTGCTGGGTTACAATTCCCACTCCAGCAATAAACATCTTTGAAGGGAGGTCTCACTCTAACCCAATGTGGAGCCAAACTTTCCCACGGAAACATCTCAAGACAAATTTAGGCAAAATGACCGCAAAGATACAGTGCATTGGTTAAGAGTCGAGTGTCATATTTGAGAAGTAATCAAACAGGGCAAAAGAGGGGAGGAAAAAATTGATGCTGTAAAATTATGAGCCTCTAATGACTAGAGATTCAGTAGAATAATATACTTGTTCCATCTGTCAACATTCAAGTTCAAATCTTGTTAAAAATCATAATCACCAGGCTGCATCATGAAAATGGCACCATGTCATCTCTGCATAGAAGGACAGGCACCTACATGACAATTCTGGGAGATTTCCTAACCCCTGTTAATAGGTCCAGGGCAACTCACTGGTACCAGAATACTTGCTGGTCTGCTCCCCTCTTAGGGCTATAAAGGCTACACATATCCTAGGTTACTTGGGTCTGAAGAACAGATGACAAAAACATGGACCACAGCAAAACTAATGTACTGGAGTTGCTAAAATTGCTGCTACAGTCTTGCCCTTTCTTCCTGTACACACCAAGTGCTGTCTTTCTGCACTCACTTCCTTGCCAAATTCAGATACGGCCATCATCTCTGTGCTCCCCTTCCTGACAGCAGCAATTTGGGAGAGTTACCTCCTATCCTTCTTTCTGCTGTGTAACTTTCCCCTTCACATTTCTTTATCGGCCCTTGGAGCTCATCTGAACTTTCATGTTCTCCCAGCATGCAGACGTGCATTCCAAACTATGTCTAACAGACCAAATAAGAGGTTAATAAGAAGTGGCAACAGAAAGGAAAAACACAATCCCTGGTAACTGATAAGAATGACAGTGGCAGCCCTTTTTTGTTTGTCTTCAAATATAGAGTTAAAGATCTTTAAAAAACTAAATTTTGATGCCTTTGAAAAGCAAGAAGCACAAAATAACAACAGGGGGTTATTGCCTGCAAGCCACAGGGGAGAAACTCCATAATTCTTATTCTCCCTTTTGAAGGCGTTAGAAATCGGATTCAAAAAAGCAGCAGCAGAAGGGGAAACCTCTCGAGGCTGTAACCATTTCCTGTGATCATGCATAATGCGCTTCAAAAGTGGGTTTTACCAATTCTGTTGATCAATTGCACCTCCTTCACATCCCTTCTTTTTTCTGCTGTGTTTACATCTGATGTGACTCAATGACAAGCACTGTCTGAGACTGTGAAACAGGCCTGTCATGTTGATTTATGGGCGCATCAAACCACAACTTGTCCAAACTGAAGCTCGCAGTTCATTAATTAGAGAGTTGTGACTTTGAAGTCAGCTTTCAGACTGTGGTTTTTAACATTTGGCTTAATTTATATGCTCTTGAATGTGGATCTCTAAGGAAAAAAACTGAAATTCCCTTCTTGTCTTTGAACTTCTTTTGACCGCACAATAATCATTTCTTTGTCCAGAGTGATGCCTGCAATCCCAGAGTCATTAACGCGCATTGAACTGCCACTGATGAGTAAGCCCTGCTGAATTAGAAAAACAGCCAGCAAAACAAAGCTGAGAGCCTTCTGCACAGTGATATCTCACAATTACATGCCTTCCCTCCCTGTGCCATTTCCATTTTAATTACTGTTAGTCCTTTAGATTTACATTTTAGACACTTTTTAATCTGTTCCCTTTTTTATTATAGCAGCACCCGGTAGCGCGCCACTGTACTTAAGGTTGTGTCAGCATTTTCATTAAAACCCCTCCTCCCCTTCACCCCAAAACTGCCCCTACTCTGCAGGGGTTTACAGGCAGGCTGCTCAACAGGACTCCACGGTAAAAACTTGGCAGAGCACAGCAATGGGTCCAGTTTGTGTAGACGGAGGAGCCAGCCCAGGGAGAAAGTCTAAGTCACTCCCCAACTGTAAAATTAGCACTGCCCAGCATCCTCACTCATGCGAGAGACAGAGACATACAGCAGCATCTAGTGAGACTCCTTTTACAGGAACCAAAGGGGCCAGCTGCTTAGGGCCAGTGAAGAAGCCATGAAGGGGAGTGATGGGCAGTTTCTAGAACTGTAAGTGAGAACTCTGGACCGGAGGACAGATGTTTTAAGAGTCTGCATCCATGTGGGTGCTTCACAGAGAGGAAGCCTGACTCACAAGGTCCTGCACAAAGGTGAGATGGAAGCTCCTGGTGAGGCCTCATCAGCTATGGGACTCACAGTGCTACCTGGCTGGGCAGTGTAGCAGAATACAGTGACTTCTGAGCCCTACAAAGTATTGAGTGAAGAGAAGCTATTAAAAATGTACTAGTTTTTCTCAGAAAAACACAAATAACCCAATCCAGAATCTCCCCTAACTTTAACTCACACTACCTAATGCATTCCTTTAGCAATGGCCATAGGTACAACTTGTAGGATGGGAATATATAATTTTGTTCTAACTTTCTCTTGTCCCACCTTACCAAAAAGGCCATTCTTTCAACAGAAAAGGCCATCACTGCATGTCTAAACTCTCCGGGCTGGAAAAAAATTATGTGGGTATTCCAGTAAAATTTCACTGAGACTACTTCCCTACTCCAGTTCCATACTGGGACTCAGTGGGGCTGGTATAGAATGGGCCAAAAATGTTCTGCCCGTGGTCTCGCATGCACTCCTCACACAGGTACACGTGCAGTGATGCTATAAAATATATCGCAGCGGCAAATGGAACCCAGAAAAATCTGAGAGAAAACAGGACTATAACTCTTGGTCTGAAAGCTGAGAAACGATAGAGTCAGCTCAGTTGTGCAATCATTTAAAAGATGAATGACAGTTTAATAGCCACTAGATAGTCCTCTGGGACCTGCGGTTTGAAAGTAAAATATGTATAGTCAGTACCTCTTTAGGCTGTTTTCCAGCATGTTGTTGTTGTAAAAGTTGAAGCTGCAACTGTTCTTGTTGTTTTTTATAAAACTCTTGAAGCTGCTGCTACAAAGAAAAGATAGGACAGTAAGAAACCGAGGCAGCACCGATCCATTGGCCCTTTTGGTGCCACATACACACTGTGATTTGAAAAATAGCATCCTTTTATCTGTGATGGCCTGACCTTTAGTTTGAAACTCGACAATAAATTCTGCACACACTGACTATTCGTGGCATTATTGTTTGAGAGGTAATCTCCAAAATGAACTGATGAAAAACATACCATTTTCTACACAAACTAATTAAAATAAGGCAAGGAATGACCTTTAATTGTACAACAAAGCTGAAATGCCCTTGCTGAGAGAGCTGGTGAATCTCTGCCGCCTGCTGCCTCAGTCATGACCAGTGGCAGCGCAAAGTGCTGGACAGCGTGTGCGGCGTGGGGTACGCCTCAGCTTCCTGTCTCCCGCCACAGTCCTCAGACCTCCTCTGGTGGGTTCACGTGACCAAGTCTGAATGTTTGGTCCTGGTGGTACAATGACAGCTAGAAGTTTGTTACAACATGAGGATATACTGCAGAAGCAAAATCAACTCTGTCCCTTGAAATTAACCAACTCCATAATGCTTCTTTATAGTAATGAAAAAAAATCTGTAAGCTTCTAAGTTGAAATGGGGACTTCAAGAGCTGTCATATGTAAACTTGCTCCTAACGTGCTCCTCATTTTGCTTTGATTCATACCATTTAGAAGCCTCTGGGCTTATCAAATAAAAGAATGTAAAGCCACATAAGCCTAAAAGATCTTTTTCTACCAACTCCAATTATAGCCCTAATCTCAGTCCATTGGATGCTCTCTGGGCCCAAACCTTGGCCACTGGCAGGCAGGCCCCTACCTTTCAGAAACACAACACAATCCATTACTCAGATTGGACTGTGTTCTGCCCCATTCATCTTGGCTAGGTGGTTCTTCAATGGCACAAGCTGCTCAGGTGGAGGGAAACTGTGCATGGCATTCTGGGGACCTGGGTTCTGAGGGGTGGGAAAAAGAAAAAGGACAATTACCTGTTGAAGCATGAGGGCCTGCTGCTGCTGGAGGAGAACCTGAAGCTGCTGAGGGCTCAGCACTTGTTGCTGGAGGATCTGCTGCATTTGCTGGGGAGTGATAACTTGAGGTGTCATCATAGCCACTGACACGGGAACCTGGAATATTAATGCAAGATAAATAGGAAGCCAGGAGATCAGAAGCACCCAATCTTCTAGGTTCTGAGACTGGTTTCCATTAGCCTGCTTAAAGAGTGAACCAATTTCCCATGCAAAATATATTTACTCACAGGGCATGGAGAGACAAACCCTATGTCATCTATTATAGAGATTATTATTATTACTACTACCATTATTTTGAGGTGTTGGAAATTGAACCCAGGGTTTTATCCAGCCTAGGCAAAGCAGAGTACCACTGAGCTACAACCCCATCCCTGGAGGTTATTTCATATAAAGAAAGCAAAATCCTGCAGCCCTGAGATTCCAAGCAGTGTTGCAAGCAGACCAAGAAGTAATATTTAATAAAATACTACCTAGACTTAGGATATAGCAATTTTAACTCCTTATTAGGAACAGGTCTTTGGTCAAAATGGGCTGTGAGATGTTAGCCCAACCTTAAAGCAAATGGGAACCAGTATCTCTAAAGGTGGAGTTAATATGTTCTGCTTCCATTGTGTATAGTGATTTGAAAAACAATCAAGGAATCCTAGTGGTGTGTGAGGGAACCCTGGATGCACCTTTGAACTTAAACACAGACCCTTCATATGATGCTTTTTACCCTTCCTTATTTGCCCAGCATACAGATGTCTCAATTCTTTCATATTATGTGTGATACCATTAAAAGGCACTTTCTATGACATTTCAGTGACAAACAGCTACAGTGATGAACTTGATAGCATTTCATATTTGCAACTGTTAACACGTTTCTGCACGGGCATCTCTGCAAGGAACCTGAACACTGTATCTGAAAGGATGATGTCTTGTTCAGATAAAACACTGACATTAAAATGACAGGCTGTCTTGGCCAAGGTTACACAAATTGTATTCAAGCGGATACCTAATGACAATGCTATGAATTCTGCAAGCTTTCTAGAATGTAATTTAGCTATTCAAAATAATCACTGCACTTGTGTTTAATTTGCAGACTACATGAGAACCATTTTGTCAGTCCCCGTAATGCAAGAAGACTATTTCATGAAAAATCACCCCCCCCAAATAAAAAGATAAGGAAAGAAAAAACAATGAAAAAAAAGACAAAACCCGTATGTCTTCTCAGAGTAACATTTAAGCATCTTACTTTTTTTTTGGTTTCTAATCAAACATGTGACAGCAAGAAGCTAGAAGCCGTAAAGGATATATTTTGTTAAAAAGGATCTGCTGTCATCTCATGTATTACAATAAAAGGTAATAACATGTTTTGCACTTTGCCTGTGTGCCACTTTAAAAAAAAATCTGGCAGACAATAGCTGATCAGAGGATAAAAGAATTAAAAAATCTTTCAGGGGAACAGTAAGCAAAAGGGAGAAATACAGTATTAATTTTATGTAACATAATGTCTTAATATGCAGTTTATCTTGACTTTTTCACATGATTTGTCCTGTCATTTGCATAGCGAGCTCTCATTCCTAATTTCACAGTCATTATGCACTGATGTCCCGATTTCTCAGCATCACTAATTTTGATGAACTAAAAATGGTTCCTGAAGGTCAGATTCATGTACAGTGAACGTTCTCCACTATTGTGAGTATATCTGGTGTGCTGGAATATTGATGTGTAAGTTTTACATGTCTAGAAAACACTAGCTAGAACATACGAAAATTTTCATTAACCCAACTCTGGAAGGTCACCCATGAGTTCTTCCTATCACAGTGGCTCTTTTAGATGTAGATATACTGTAATTTAAAACAGATGGGCATGTCAGAGTATTTTTATATGTAAAAAGGGACAGATGTGTATGAGTGGATAAATTATCTTAAAAGAAAGATACTGTAATTCGCAACATCCCAAATATTACCAATGATTGGAACAGTGAACTTCCATTCAATCTAGGGCAAACTCTAAGCTATTATCAAGACATCTAGCCATCTACAAGTTAATTCCAATTATCCAACTTAGTCTTAATAGAAAAATTTTTTAATTTTTAAGTATGTGTTTGTTAGATGCCAATCATGATCTTTTGAGTTGCTAAAGCCAACATATCACAATAGAAGTTTACTTTTCCTTGAGAGTTGCATCATCATTTGGGGGAGGTTTGATTAAGCAAACAAAAGAACCATGTTTAAGGTTTCTTTTTTCCTCTGCGTTTCTTGGATGATGTACAATATAAATATTCTTGAGCCAAATTTCTGATGGTGATGAACAGGAAAATAGACAGGAATAGGGTGGTGTAAAATCTAAACTGGTAATGAACATGAACTTAACAGAGTTTCAGAAGAAATCAGCACAGAAATAATTCCCACTGTAATTTTTAAAAGAGCTATAGAAATCTTACATTACAAAGGGACACACTCGTGAATTTTGGGGGGGGTGATGGAAATGCCAGCCAGCATTTTAAAAACGGTAGCAGTCAGAGAGATATACAAGCATACAACTATCAAAACTCAGATTTCAACTACACATTTAAAAACAGTATATTTTATAATAGGCAAATTATATCCCAAAATGGTTGGATTTATTTTACATGTACACACAAAAATAATCTCAATTTTTTAAAAAAATTGGTGAAACTGTATTTTCTTAAATGAGAAACACTGTCTTTTGACAGTCAAAAAAATAGGGGACATCAAGGAAAGGACTGAGACACACAAACAATTTTAAACTCTTATAAGACAGTCAGTGGTTTACATCTCCTTTTTTCACATTTAATTCAGTTTTTATGCAGCTGTGCAACACAGCAGTAGAACAAATTTAAGCCTCTCCTGGTTTTTCCTTTTGGACATCATGATAGAGGTGCTGATGAGTAATAAAATGTTCAAAGCAGCAGACTCAGCCCAAGCAAAGAAAGGCCCAAGGAGCCCGAGTAACCCTCCAAATTGGTTGATCAGTCTCTGAATAATCTGAAGTGGGCCATTATATCCTGATGGCCTGAACTTTGCTTTTACTATCTGAAACCACATTTTCACACTACTTAGCTCTGAGCCCCCAAAGTAGGCTCAAGTTTAATTTATAAATGCAATAAAATACAGACATTCCCAAAGTTTCTGCTCCAACATGTCAGGAAAAGAGGTTATGGAAAGACTTAACAAATATATTCAAATGAACCAGAAACCAGAGTGAAGTACAAGGCAGAAGGAGGGGAATGGAACACAGTTTAAGGCCTTAAATAGTTAAGAATTATAGCCTTTATATCTACTCCCTTAATTCCCAGCGTCCAACTTTCTCATGTAGCTAGTCCCTACTAATACTAGGAATCAAAGGGCATGCAGTACTAGCAACGGGCTATTACAGCCCACACTTTATTGCCCATTACTACTGAGGTCATTAGCGGCAAGAGTGATTGTAGCAGTCTTAACCTATTGATCACTGTAACTACTATCATTTAATCCTGTGTTGAATGTCTGGAAAGCGACTAAAGGCACACAAGAGAGAGTGTTTTAGTATAGAGAAATATGGTCAAAGCTTAGAAATTACACTTTGATTCATAAAACTAGCCAGTGGTTTAAATCAATAGTATTTAAAACAGTCATGTGAGTTTTTAACTACAGCAGTCTAATATTTATGAGCCCCTCTTTGAGAGTATTCAGTGAAAACGAAACTCTTCTCTCCACAATCTCAATCCCATGCCATCTATACCTTAACCTTCTTTTGATAAAAAAAAAAATATTCATTTCTGATGTTTTGTGTAGCTACGGGGCTCATGCTTTCTCTGGGAATTCAAGCTAATTCTTAATTTCTTTCTCATAAGACAATTTCAATATAAGGGAAAAAAAGAATTACATCCCTGATACTGTAACTACCTTAACTGTTTGAGTACGTAGAAATGAGTATGTTTTATGAGTTAACAATGAATCATAGAAGGCAATTTATGAAGAACTAGAATGATTCTGTCTAGCTGCCTTCAGGGATCAGAAATTCAAATTAAACTTCTGGCAGACATTTAAAGAATGCTAGCATACAAAACTGAATTTAAACACACACACACACACACACACACACACACACACACACACACCCTTAACTGAGCTTAACACTCTTTAGCTGAGTTTCAAGAGGAAATCATGAATTTTAAAAAACATACTGCACGATAGGCTGTTGCCTGATACCAACTGGGTGTGGCAGATCCCAGGTGCACAGAAACCTGCGGGAATGGCAGAAATACAGCTGTGCTTGGGCCATCCAAAGGGTGCTAGTATGGGCCTGCTGCTGCCTAATACCAGCCCCGGGAGCGACCTGAGCGCTGAGGGCTGCTGTTAAAAGCCCATAGACTGCTGTGTCAATTCTTCCTGATGTAGTTTAGTTTTCCTCCAAAATGATGCTACATCATCTGAAGGCTTGAGGACTGTTAAAATGGTATGCTCTCTTCTTTCTTTTATCCCCAGTGAGGCAAGATACAAAATGGGAGGGGGAATGGGAAAAGTAAACAAACAAAAACACTCACAGAAATAATACTTCTTTCTCATCCAGAAGACAACTGAAGGAACTGGGTGAGAAGCAAGATGGCACAATATAAATACTGAAAATAAGTTAGTTTTTCTCTCCGTTTAGTTTATATTCAAGTTAAGTGTATGTAAATACTCCTCAGTATAAATACACATAGGTTTTGCACAGCACCACCTTCTCATATTTGCTAGGTGTACACATAAAACCAAGAAGGAAACACAATTTCACTATTATTTTATTTCCATTAATTTTCAAAAAAAAAAAAAAAGACTACTATTTTTAACCTTTGATCATTCATTCCTTCTATGTCCCATAACTCACTTTCCTTTTGGACTTCAGGCTGTTTTGGGGTGATAACTAATCAGGTTAGGCAGTGTTACCTAGTTAATCACATCAAGAGCAAAACAAATTCAGAGTGTCAAAACAAAACCAAACAAAGAAAATGGCTCTATTAAAAAAGAAAAAAAACTGAATTGTGCCAAATTTTATATGATGATACAGAAGTAGCCTGTGCAAGGGAAAATTAGACCTTACTAGCAGCGATCTTGTGGAAAAAAAAA